TTGCATTTTAGTCCCAAGCCCATCTCTGGGCAGAGTTTTAAGTATTACCTATTCTGCTCAGTGTTTGGCAATGTGAACCAATCACTGAAATGAACTTGCTGTAACATAAAATGTTATCCACTGTTTTCAGAAAGTTGGAGAAATAGTTGACACCCCATCCCTGTTGGTGCTGCTAAAATACTGTGCTGTTTTCACCCTTGTTTGACACCTCTGTACTTTGTTCCCCTCCTACTCCATGCTGTTTACAACCCAGGCAGCTCCTGTTAATTTTTTTTTTTAAGATTTAAGATATTAAAACATGTCTGTTTCTAATTTCACAGCTTTTATATAACACTGCTGGGACATACATATTCTTACTTACCCAGATCATGGTTTTCAGTGGTTTGCAGACAATGAGTTCAAGAGCATACCATCAACAAGGCGTATGGCTGATACCATGCCTCAGTGACAGCAAAGCAGGCAAGGTTCAGTGGGGCCTTGAGTGCGGCATGGTTTCAATAATTGATCATTGAGAAGAAAGCAATTAATCTCTTCCAGTGGCAGTTCTCTCTCCTTTTTTAAGGAGAGGAGTCTGTGCTTCTTCCTAGGCATACGTTAACTATCAACTAGAGCAAAGACAAATGGAGCACCTGAAGTTAAAAATCTAAATATACCCTACTGAAGTTTGACCTCACCCATGGAGATTTTGTGATCATTTAGATGTGGAAGTTTTACTTTGTGCCACCAGTTAGAAGTATTTGCTAAGCTGTTAATATGAAACCGACCAAAGGTTCCTTAAACCTTTAGATATTTTTGGTTAAAGAGAGTAACCCCTTTGTCAAAGTGTAATTTTCAAAAGTTAAATATATGACACACAAATATAGAATGAACATGTAGCAAAGATTGATTTAATACCTTAATGAGGGAGCCAGCAGGGTGGCAAAGCTGGTTCAAAGGAGAACCAAAGGAACAGGTTATAAAGGCATTCATGAAGGAATGTCAGGGTAAGATGTCAGGGTTAGGTGTAAACTGATTAGCAGTCCAAGGGGACAACAAAACCTGACAGAAATCATTTACATCTCCACTGGACAAAAATCTGTAAGTTACCCTTAACTTTATAGGCTGGGCCTTTAATCCATAGTGAAGAGCTTGTCAAACACAAAGCCAGTGCCCTGGGTAATGAAATAATCCTTGTGTGAGCTGTTAATGCTCAGCAGGACATTGGAAGAACATGCTCCTCTCCCTTACCTTGTTTATAAGTTTTGGTTAATTTTTCTTAACTTACTATCTGAGTGACCTTGCACTTACATGAGGTTCCTGGAGTAGTCAGATTCGTAGAGATAGAAGTAGAATGGTGCTTGCCAGGGACTGAGGGAGGGAGAATGGGGAGTTAGTGTTGAACAGGGACAGAGCTTTAGTTTTGCAAGATGAAAAATGTTCTGTGGGTGGATGGTGGTGCTGGTTGCACAACAGTGCAAATACTTGATACCACTGAACTGTACATTGAAAATGATTAAGATGACAAGTTTTATGTTACATGTATTTTACCACAATTTTAAACAGTTAAATGAGCTGACACATAGGTATATGAAGAAAGACTTAACAATTCTTCAGCCTCATCCTACATCCTCATTACTAACTTAGTAGTCCTATGTTTGTGTTAACTTTTCCTTATTCATAAAAATATACATAGACCTTCTTTTAAAAAGGAGGTTATTGAAATTCTTTACTCTGTGACATTTGTTCTTTTCACTTAAGGATATATCGAGGACGGGCCTCTGGGTTATAGATATTGATCTAATCCATTCTCTTTAACACCAGCTCCATAGACTGGTTGTGCCATAATTTATTCAACTGTTGTTCTACTGATGGAAATTCAGTTGTCTCCAGTTGTGTTTTGTTTTGTTTGCCAGTGTAAACACTATTACACTATAAAAATGTTATAATACAGGACAGTGAAGCTGCAGGCCAGGATCTCAGTGGTGACAACAAGAAGGCAGAGGAGGGAATTGTTCAGAGGAATGTTTTGTTAGGAAAATGGATTGGATTTAGGGGCGAGTTGAAAATTTTAGAGCAAGAGCAGAGAATGAATAGTGCTGGCGTGTTACTGAAAGAGGGAGTTGAAGAACAAGGTTATGGGGGTGGCATAGAAGCAAGAGGGTAGTGTTTGTTTCTAAAACGCCAGGCTTGGGGGGCCTGGGTGGCTCAGTTGGGAGACAACTGATTTTTGGTTTTGGCTCAGGTCATGATCTCACAGTCACGAGATCAAGCCCCTTGTTGGGCTCTGTGCTGAGCGTGGAGTCTGCTTGAGATTCTCTCTCTCCCTCTCTCTCTGCCCCTTCCCCCACACACATACGCTCCCTCTCTCTCTCTCTAAAAAAAAAATAAAAAATAAAATGCCAGGCTTAAGATAGGCATGCTGTCTGTGCCTGCTGGGCAGCGAAAAATAAAGATCTAAGGCTTGGGGAAGACATCACAGATAGAGACATAGATCATAGTTGATCATAGACAGAGTCATAGTTGAAGCTATGGGAGTAGGGGAGATTTGTTCCTAGGGCAGCCTTATTCTAGAGGAAGGAGATAGTGTTCACGGCAGTTACCTGTGTTTAAGAGTCTGGCTAGGGAGACTGAGACGCTGTGATCCGAGACGGAGGAGGAATGGCGAGTAAAGACCTTTACTCAGCCCTGCCTCTGAGACGTTCTTCAAACGGGGGTTTCCTTGCGTATAAACCACCAGAAACAGTGGTACAATTGCGTAAGCCAATATGGGCCCCTGCTTTGAATTTATGGACTAGGCCAAATGAAATCTCAGAGGGGCAGAGTTCAGTTGTAGTTTGACAACTCTCAACAGGAGTTGCAAGGTCATTTTTTAAGACTACATTTTTTTAAGACTACATACATATAAACCAGGACTTAGAGGATACATCAGTGTCGCAATCCCTTGTGAAGCAGAACGTCTGCCCAGAGGTGCCCGTGGAAGCAGCAAATAACAGGGAATCTCTGAAACATTACAGTGAGTGCTGATGCTGTCTCCACAATGTACATTAGCTTAAAGATGACCTTGTTGCCACCACATCTTTTTATAAAGGATCTGTGAACTTTTAAACGTACCCATTGATTGGAGGAGGCAATAAAGGCAATTACTGGTAATCCAAATGCATTATTTTGTCCCTTCTCATGACTTTAAGAAATACCCGTGTTTGGAAAAGCAACAGAGTCATCAAAACTGCTGACGTCACTGAGGAGTGACATCCCGGGGAGCCTGCCAAGTTTGACGCTGGATTCAACTTAATTCACATGCTGTATTCTTAGTCATACCCTAGATACCATGGTCAAAGATTCCTGAAGAAGAATCCAAAGAAGTAAAGATGAGGACACTCACCATAAAGTGCTTTGTCATCTTGTGGGGAACTAAGATATGTTCTCTGGGTATTCTGTGACCCCCACCACCACCAGGGTTGTGTTTGTTGCTATTGAAGGGATTTGCAGTCCGAGTGCAGTCAGTCTGTACCCGCGTTCCCCCAACCTGCAGGACCCGTTTGTTAAGGAAGAAGCAGGTGTGTGCACAGTGGGGGCACTGGCAGGTTGGAGGAGGCAGCAGGTGGTGAACGAACTGTTTTCCAGGTAATGTGATCGGAGTCATATTTATAGGGTGGTCATTTTCAGGCATGATGGACTCAGGCCATCATCTTGGGTTACTTGATTATAAATTGCAAAGAAGGAGGTCATAGCTGTGGAGTGTTGATGTAAACAAAGGCTGATGAATCCACATTGGAAGGCTTGTTTGTAGGTTCGGTGTCACCTTGAATATCTCTAATGCTTTGCAATAGGGAAGACTGCCAACAGAGGGTGGGAGAGTTGTCAAAGTACTCAGTCAGTACCTTACTGTGCCCAGCACCAGATCATCCAGAGGCATTGATGAGTCATGGAAACTAATTAGAGGAACACTGGAGGTGTTCCAGTAGGATTCTTAGGAAAGCAAGTTAGTGGTGGAGCTTGCCTTCCCCCTGCCCACTGGGTGCCTAGTCCAGCTGCTTGCAGGAAGAATCCGGGATTTTTTGCCTAAGGCCCTTAGGTATATAGGAGTCACCCAAGCCTGGGTATCGGGAGGGCAAGACTGGAGATTCCCAGCTGTGTCTGCTGCTTCCCAGTCCTTTGGCAGTGGAAACGCTTTATTCTCAGGGTCTGCCTTAGGCTTTAGTTTTGGACAAGTTGTTGTGCCCTCCTCTGGTCTTGTCTGAACACGTAGGCCACGCCCAAGCCCCTGACACGCTGGGAACTTTGCCCTATCTCCATAATCCACGGCTGCACAGTTTCGAAAGAGACACCAAAATCCAGACACAGCAAGGCATTCCCTTTTGCAGGTACTGAGGTCCTGAATGACAGTTTTATCCTGGACACATTCCCTTTTCTTTCCTCTTTTGTCTGTTCATTTTTATCTCTCCCTATAATATATAAATAATTGGCTTATCCTGTCTGCTGCCCACAGAGAAAATTAAACGTCTGAATTTTTCATAGCTATGGGAAAGTGTTTCCAAAGTGGGGAAAAAAATGGACATTGGACATTTCAGCTCCTGCTTTCGGTATAGTGGGAATTTATTACTCAGCTCAGTAATAGTCTTGGCCCAAACCAAGTAGTTGTGAGGGCAAGCAGTGGATACCTTTCCTAAATCACACTGCCGGGGATACCTTTGTTCATAACTGAGACAGCACATACCAAGGGCATCTTTCCATCAAAGACTGATTATCTCTGAATCTTAGACATACCACAAAAGTCATTGAGCCCCAGCCAATGGATTTTACTTGTATGTGAGATTGCATCGCTCCCAAAAGGAGGGAAACAGAAGGGGAGGGAGGCAACAGAGAACTCAGAGCCCAACAATAAATAGCTCTTTGTACCAGTCCCCTCCCCTAACCCCAAGCCACTGAGCTCATGGAGTAAGTTCCCAGCACGCAGGGGAAGGCAGCACTGCCCAGCAGCTTAGCAGATGTTGACCAAAGGCGAACTTGTCTTTCCACAGTGTGCGGCTGTGACCTGGCACAAGGGGGCTTCTTCATAAAGAACGGGGAGTATCTCTGCACCCTGGACTACCAGAGGATGTATGGGACACGCTGCCACGGCTGTGGGGAGTTCGTGGAAGGAGAAGTGGTGACTGCCCTGGGCAAGACTTATCATCCCAACTGCTTTGCCTGTACCATCTGCAAGTAAGTGGTGCCTTCCCCCAACAGAGAAGTGCTGCGTTCTGCTCTTAAAGCCTGGGATGTACACCTTTTGTCTTGAGTTGCACTGTCTTGAAATATTCTTTTTCTGATGCACCCTTAGATTTTTTTAAAAAAATGTTTCTATTGTTTTATCAGTCTTAGTCAAAAAGTCATTTAGTTGGGAAACTTTACACACGAGGTCCTCTACTAAATAATATGACTGATTTTAAGTGTCTTGAAACCAAGTGTGAAAGCAGCTCTGGGTCTTGAAACAGTTTGAGCAATGAAAACCTTAGGAGGAAATGGCATAACTGCTTGGAAGGATAAAGCTTCTTTGGAAGTATACGTTCATGTGTGTGTGTTTAAAATAGTCTCGTTTACTCTGTAGCAGAGCTGGGCAAACTCTGCCCCATGGCCCAAATTAGCCCCAATACCTGTCTTTGTAAATAAAGTTTTATTGGGACACAGTCACACCCATTTTTTCACATATGGCTGCTTATGGCTTCTTTTGAGCTACAGTGGCAGAGTTGAGCAGTCATGACAGACATCATATGATCCACAAAGTCTAAAAAAAATACTTATAGTCTGAACTCTCGGGGGGAACAGTTGACCCACCCCTGCTCTCTAGGCTTCCATCCTCTAGCAAGGTTAAATCTTAACTGCACAAACCAGCTTGGTTAAAATGATCAGTCAGAGAGAAGCAGGGGAAAGTATGTGAAGTGTGAGTGGGGAAAGGTGGTGGTTTCATCGTTCTGTGTTTCGAATACTACACATTCTAGAACTTAAGATGGCGTCGCTTGCGGTAACAAGGGGAGTCACCAGCAAGGCTCAGCTACTTTACTGATCTGTCCTAATCGGGCAGTCCCATTCTTTGGGTGTGCTGTTGCTGGCTGTGTGCTCCATTTTGCTGTAGCTTTGTAAAAATGACAGTTCAGAGGAGGTGTTTTGCTTTGTTTTTCAGCATTTCATGTTTCTAGGCCAGAGAGATGTAAACTCTAGAAAGGTAAACTTCATTCTATCTAATTAGCTAACAAGGTAATACTCACACATGAACCATATAAGATTTAGATGGAGTATTCATCGTAAAATTATTGTAATAATATTTTATAGTTATTAGTCCATTTCTCAAGTATATCTTTTTAAATCCTAATTTTAAAATGCTGGATTACTGAGCTGAAAATTTTTCTGTATTTAATCCAAAGTAAAGTTTCCTCTTGACCTCTCGCTTTGCAGGCTGTGGCCCACTGCCTGCTTAAAAGCCCTTGGCTGGCATTCGAGAGTCCCAAGTTCTAGTCCTGCTTCCTGAACTATGTGAATTAAGTTTTTCCATGGCAATTGTTTCATCTGTAAGATAGGAGGCTGTGGACTAGATCCCAGTGATTCCCCAAACCAGGATGAGCAGTGGACTCCTCCCCTGGGGAAGATCTCTTTACAAATGTCTGTTTCTAACATTTTCCCCCGAACTCTCCTGCTGATCTAGTAGTTTCTAGAGGGCTCCCAAGTATAGGGCTACTCAGCCAGGTTGGAAGGCCCTGGCCCTGGGCTCTAAGAGCCCTCCTGATTCTGGCTTTGAGAGGTCATTGTTTTAAAGTCGGTGATGATGAATAAACGTCTATTAGTGATAGTCCTGTCTCCGATGTTTGGGCCAGCGAAGAAGTACTCACTGTTGTTACTAGCATGCTGCTGCTGAAGATGATGATATTCTACCTGAAGTGGAGGCCTCCTTTATGGCTGACGACCTGCATTCATGTCGAATCTACGTTAACCCTCTTAGCAATTCCGTGAAGTCAGCCAGGAATTAGTGTCCCTAATTATGAGTGACTCTGGGTCTCAGAGTTGAAGGGACTTTCCCCAGACTAACACTTGCAAGGCTAAGATTTGAACTCAGGTTTCCTGACTCCAGATCCGGTTTTCTTGATAACACACAGTCACACAAATGGCAGAAGGAAGTGAAGCCATGTGGGCAGAGAACACAGTGGGCTGAAGGGGGAAAGAACTGAAGAGGGTCATTTATAAAATCACACAAGCCAAAGTTCAAAAGACCTGGCCCCATGTTAAGAACTGGACTCCGGTTTATCCGCTAGTGGATCCAGGTGGGATTCAAGTCTAAACATACAAACTTGGCTCGGAGGCAAGAGAGGAGGCTAGCGTGCATTGCAGGGTTTACACCTGAGAGTTAGGGCCTCCTTTAAATGCTGGGCCCCAGGTGCCCCAGGTGCCTCACTGGCCTCAACCTAGCCCTGGCTCCGATCAGAGGCAAAAAGCTTGTGGTTATGCTTCTGGCCCCCTAATTCCTGATGCCCCCTCACAGAGCAGACTGGGGCCTCGTTCGGGTTTCATGGATGATCAGCAGTAGGCCCACTGGCATCCACCAAAGCACGATTTTTGATTGTTAAAGACAGAGAAGTCCTGTATTAGTGGATGCCACCTGCACTGCCTGGGGCCAGTCTCCCGAGTTGGTCAGTCCAGGCAGGTCACTTAAGCTCTCCGGGCCTTATCTGAACAATGGAAAGTAACACAGCACCAGCACCCTGAGAGAAGAGAGGGCCTCAGCTCAGCACTTGTAAAAGGAGGGGGCGGGGGGGAGAGAACCTGTAACTCTCCTTGAGGACCAGCACAAAGCACATCTGTGGAGTTGTTTCAAGTCCAAATGTACTACCTGTGTGTGTGTTACGGTTAATTACCAACAGTTAGGCAGCTGAAGGGCCACTTAAAGGAGGGTTAGCAGCTGTGAAAGTAAAACTCCTGTCAAAGAGCCAGTGTTTGTTCCTAAGTAATTGCTTCTGACTCAGATGTGTGGGGATGTTTTGCTTGTGAGTTTTTAATTTCCTAACCAACAGAATCACAATTTGAAAGCTCATGTTAATGAAGAGTATTGGCAAATTGCCAATTACAAGTAAGCGGACCTGGAAATTGTCCTGTGAGTCTTTGTTAATGACTTTTCTTTTTGAAAAACTACCTGCCACTGAACTGGCCAGAGAAGAAACGGGTAACACACATGCAGAGGCAATATTTTTGCAAACTGTTTGTTGTTGACGAGTGACGCAAAAGGAAATGATCTCTCTGAAAAGAAGTTAATAGTTTTGTGGGGTTTTTTTTTTTAAGTTTTTAGAAGCTAATCGTTTTTAAATAGGTATTTACAGCACTGTTGTATTTCTCCACCAGGGATTGGGCCTCCAGCACTGAAACACCCCGTTCACCCACTCAGATGTCCAGAACAAAGTCTCATTAGGTGCACAAATACCACGTAGGTCTAGGGAAGTGAAGGAGTTAATGCTTGACCTGTAACCAGTTCTCCTGGGGAGGGGCCTTAAGCTTGAATAGGAATTTATGGCATTTAAAATATTTCTTCTTGAAGCGTTTTCCATTTGGAAAATGGAAAATTTTCCTGTGTGTACCTGGCTAGGTGACTTGTTGGAACAATCCCTCCACTAATGAGTAGAGGTAAATCATTCCATTTTACTGTCTGGTTGCTGGTAGAAGCAGTGCGTTCTCCCTTCTCAAAATGAGGCATGTTTATTTGTTTGGACTATATCCAGCTGGCTGGCTTGGTTAATAAGACTGAATTTCAGACATTCTGGCTAGTGCTCCTCAAAGAAATGGAATGGCACCCGGGGGCAGCGAGCAGAAGGAGTAAGGAAAAGAAATTAAATTGCTGGAATAACCTTGAGGGCAATGTCTTTCTGTCTCCAGGCGCCCGTTTCCACCGGGAGACCGAGTCACGTTCAATGGGAGAGACTGCCTTTGCCAACTGTGCGCACAGCCGATGTCGTCCAGCCCTAAAGAAGCCACCTGCTCCAGCAGTAAGTGCCCCAGCCACCCGTTGACATGAGTTCCTCATAGCTCAAAGGTCGCTTAGGCAAGTGCCTTCTTCCTTCCTGTGAAGCTGTTAGCTAACGCTGAGCATAGTCGCATCTAAGGCATTGCGATTGTAAAGCCTGACGCCTTCGCTAAAACCCGTGCAGTGAGAAGCATCTCCCTTCTGTCAAAAAGGCATAAATAGGATTGGACATCAAACTGTGCATTTTGAGAGTAAATGAAGGAAAAAGAATGATAAAACTTTCTGTGAGAAATGCCCATTCCCTCATCATGGTGGTTGAGATGTGCAGACATTTGGTGGTGAAGGGATTGATAGCTCTGTGTATTAAAAAAGCTGGCCCCACTGTGCCTAGGGCAAGTGCGGTGATTTATACTTAGCCTTAATTCTTTATATCTGTTATCCTTAAATATTTATTCACTTGGAGGGTTTCTGACACTTATTTATTGAACAGATAGTTTGCTGAGCACCTACAATGTGTGATGATGTTCGTACTGGAGATCCGGGAGTGAACAAAAACTCAGCATCCCCAGGAAGCTTACTTTCTAGCAGGAACAGGCAGACCATAAATGCAGACACCAAAATATCTAATCTCTAAATTAAAGTAGGACGAAGATGCAGGGTAAAGGGGCTGCATTTATACGGGGCAATCAAGGGAGACCTCTCTCAAAAGGTGACACTTAAGGAGAATCTGAAGTGTGGGAACAAGATATGTATGTGCCATGGGATTTGTCATTCTTTATGACGAGGTCTTGTGTGACCTGTGGGAATCCAGAGAAAACTAACTTGCTCCCAAACCTTCCCCCTGCTGACTTCCCTCATAGTGTCAGTTGCACTGTTTCTCCTAGTAGATAACATTAGGTAAGTCAGTTACCTTTTAAGTGAAATGTATTCTGATCTCTGGCACCAAACAATGAGGCTCTACTTCCATTTCCTCCCTGGGGGCATTAGGAAGTAGACCAGAGGTTTGCCTTGGTTTCTGTGGATTTTACCAATCTTTGGGAGATCTGCAACAAATTCCATTAAGCTCCTCCAGTCTCAGTACATAAGAATGAAATAAGCCACTTCTGCTCTGGAGGAGTTCTGTGCAAGCCATCGCAGTGATTCCAAATCTTTTTGTTGAAGAAGAAGAATCCTTATACCTTTGTTCAAAAAGAATGTTCTGACCAAAGCATCTGCATAGAGATTGGATTTGACCGTTGGGAGGAAAGAAGAAAATAGATGTATTAGTGCATCTTATTCAACACGACCGGATCCTTAGCATGTGAATTTATATGCTCTGCTGATAAATGCTAGCAGCCTGAATAGGGCAAGAGCTACAAAGTAAGGCCCAGTCCTAGACCTCTAGGAGGGTTTCAAGTGCTTCACGCTTCTTACCTACCCTGCCCCAAGCAGGTCACTGGGGAGGTGAGTTGGGGTGGGAATAGTCACCCCACTGTGTAGGAGGGCCTACTTCAAAAGTACATTACCAAAAACTTTGGAGGAGTTTTTCAATCTAGTTAAGAAAAAGGATTTTGTGAATCCCAGGAAAGAATGATAGCTGCTAATAGGGGATCATGTCCAGAGGCCTATAATAGAAATGGCTATGTCCTCAAATTCTGTAGAGTCCTTTACTCCAACTGTCTCTCTCTCTTTTTTTTTTTTAAGATTTTATTTATTTGACAGAGACACAGCGAGAGAGGGAACACAAGCAGGGGGAGTGGGAGAGGGAGAAGCAGGCTTCCTGCTGAGCAGGGAGCCAGACGCGGGGCTTGATCCCAAGACCCTGGGATCATGACCTGAGCCCAAGGCAGACGCCTAACGACTGAGCCACCCAGGCGCCCCCTCCCTCCTTTTTTTTTTTTAAGTAAACTCTACACCCAACGTGGGGCTTGAACTCACGACCCGAGATCAAGGGTCACATGCTCTGCCGACAGAGCCAGCCCAGCACCCCATAACTTTCTTGATAGGTGAGGAATTTAGGGCCCACGGGCATACTTAAGGTCACAGAAGCTGTCCATTAATAAGGCAGGATTACAGGCAAGTCTTTTGAGTCCTGGTTTTGGGCTCTCTTTTGTTTCATCTCATACTCTTCATTGTTTGATTTAAGAAACAGCAGTGGATCTTTTTAAAGGCTTCCTGTCCTGCCACGCATGCAATTTGGGAACAGGTTTTCTCCTCACAGCGTTACCGAAGTGGTTATTCCAATTTTTTTTAAACATGTTTTTGCTTTCACTGTATTTTCCATTTTATATGACATACATGTTATGTACATAAGGAAAAAATAAAAATTTTAAGTGTAAAAATGTATCCTACCCAAATTCATGATATCTTTCATGCTATATGTAATAACAATTGCCTGTGCACACATTGTTGGACCAAATCCTATTTTCTCCTTTGCTCTCAATGGATGAAATCTCTTTTCTGTGCAACTGTTTTGGTCCAAACAGTTTTATTTTCAACAAGTACTTGTCTATTTAGATCAGTACTCAAATAACATTTATGGGGCATGTGGGCTGTTAAAAAGGAGCTCTTATATATGGATGCACATATGCAAAATGCCCAAGCTGGGCAGGCACACAAATACTAGAGCAAGGGAATTCTCAGCAAATTGCTGAAATTCACTGGAGCATAATTAGAAAACACTTGGTTGTTATTTGTAATTCCATGAGAATTGCCCTATACATGAAAACTATCCTGATGTGACTTTAATTCTTATTTTAAAAATGGCTGAAATTTGGCAAATTGTCCTAAAGCAAAACGAAAAATGAAGTGCCTCTTTGATACTGTTCACAGAGTCAGTGAAACATATCAGAGAGTCAAGGTCCTCTTTCTCCTTTGGGATGTTCTTTCAAAAACAAATTTGCTCTTAACTGCAATTTTATTTCACATTCCGCGGCTGGTTTCCCATCTTCACTGCCTAGAGGTGAAAGACAGTGTGAGAGGAAGAGAAGTGAAGGGTGGTCAACAGATCTAAATCAGTGATGGGGTGAGAATTCACACAAAACAGTGTCTGCTTGAGCTTCCTGGATAGAGGTGCGGTTTCTACAATAGCCGATCGGGAGCTACCCCATCTGTACTGCTCTGGCTTAAAGAGGACTCCCAGGGACGTGCCTGTGGCGTCACAGTGCTTCCTTCCACCATACAATCATTCCTTTAACCTTTATATGTAGTCTTCTTTATCAAGCACTCATACAGTGTTCACTGTGGGTCAGGTCCTATATAACTGGTCCACTAATTTTAACTCATTTAGTTCACAGAGCCACCCACTAGCTTGATACTAAAACTATCTCCTTCTCACAGAAGAAGAAACAAAGGGCCATAGAGGGTTAACTTGCCCAAGATTACACAGACGGTAAGCAGTGGAGCTGAGTTACAGACCCACGCTGTCTGGCTCCAGGTGCCATACTGATGTCCCTGATGTCTGTTTCACAAGGTGGGCGTCACTCTGCAGAGCCTCAAGCGATGGCCTGCCTTGTCCGCACATTTACGTGAGTGTCCTGCCTCCAAGGGCTGTGCCCTTTCTACACACCACAGCTGCCTTCCCTTTGTCGCCAGGTTTGATGAATGGAAACCACGAGGACGTTATTCCTGGAAACTACTTCCGTTAAAGATGATTGCCCCTGAATTAGTTAAAACTCTGGCGGCATCTGGTCTGATGCAATTTGAATTCAATAAGCAATAAACCTTCTATAACATGGAAATCATAGTAAAAATTACCTCAAAGGTTGTGATGAACATTAATTAAACTGCTTTTACTATTAAAAAAAAAATCAGTTGCCTATGCCCAGCTGATCCATACCTTAAAAATTGATGCCCAGGCGGCGCCTGGGTGGCTCAGTCAGTTAAGCATCTGCCTTTGGCTCAGGTCATGATCCCAGGGTCCTGGGATCGAGCCCTGCATCAGGCTCCCTGCTCAGCGGAGAGCCTGCTTCTCCCTCTCCCACTCCCCCTGCTTGTGTTCTCTCTCTCGCTGTGTCTCTCTCTGTCAAATAAATAAATAAAATCTTAAAAAAAAAAAAATTGATGCCCAGAAAACGTTAAGTCCAACCAGGAGGTTATGGGCACTCCTCTAAAGCTCAGTTCTTCTCCGGTCTTTGCCAGCAGTTGAACTGGATTCCCATGGGATAAGGAGCCCTTCAATGGGGGAGATATGTGTGTGGCAACCTCGAGCGTAGGGAATCAGGGTTTGGATTGTCGTTTTCCCGCATGGCTCCTGTCTGTTTCAGGCACCTGAGCAGGAGTGGGCTGCTGTCCACAATTACCCTTTCCATTTCAAAGGGTGTCTGACTAGTGTCTGATTGTGTGTGAGTTTGGTGGATTGACGCGATGACCACCCACACACAAACACATCCAAGCCCATCTTCCTCCTTCCTGCCCCTCTGCACAGCATTGTCATTACTCCAACTGCAATTGGACCTCCTACAGGTATCAGGGCAAATGCTCGACTTGGCCTGAATTTAAATCATTTCAGATAAAGAATCATGTGCATGCTTTCAAAGGGGAGGAAGAACTTTTCTATTATTTCATGTTTCTTTTTATAGTTGCAAGATAATTTTTATTTTGTCTTTATATTCCCTCCCAAAAAATCATCTGCAGGTTGAGTGGGATTTGTCTGCAGAGACACCTAACAGTGGGTGGGGTGGTGATGCTCTGATGCTGATGTCTGGGTGCCCTGGGTCAGGCTCCAGCTCTGCCACTTGCTGGCATTCTCTTTACCTTTCCAGCCTCCCTTGCCTTATCTGTAAAATGGGATGGTAATCATTACCTTGTAGGATTAAATGAGGACATATATGGAAATGCTGTATACTTATAAAAAAGATAACTTACTGTTCAGGAATTAAGTTTTGAGTGTTTGTGTAAGACCATTACTGCTTCCTGTGCCTCTGCTTTTTTCACTCTCCTGTTCATGACAGTTGTCTTTATCTGCTCCTTTGATATTTTCCACCAGTATAAAAACCAATGAAGGCAGAACACATCCACACATTATAGCCCATGTATTGTTGG